GTAGTGCGGTAATCTGGTTCGGTCTCTGGGGCCTCTCTAACTCTCTTTAGGAGGTCGCTATAGATAGGGTCCTGCATATACGCTTGTTTCACTTTCTCCTGCAGGTCTCTCCCTATATCCAGATAATGTACTACGGCTCCAAAGTAGTCTGATCTCCTACTTAGAGCATCTGCCACTACATTGTACTTGCCCTTCACTGGCTTGAGCTCAAAGTCGAATTGGTCTATCTTTGCGGCCCACCTGGTCAACTTGGGTGTCATCTTGGCCTGAGTCTTTAACCATCTAAGTGTTTCGTGGTCCGAATACACTTTGAAGTGCCTCCCAAGCAGATAGTGTTTCCAATGGTCTAAAGCCTGCCAGAGAGCGTAGAGTTCTCTCTCTTATGTGAAGGTAGCGACCTTCTCACAGGGCATCCTCGCTGACATGAACTCTACGGGTCTATAGCCATTGCCGTCGTCTTGCTGCAGCACGGCGTCTATCCCATACTGACTTGCGTCCGTAGTAACGACAAATGGTAAGGACGGATCCGCTACTTTGAGGACAGGATATTCTATTAACGCGCGCTTTAACTTTTTTAGCGCAGACGTACAGTCTTTATCCCATTGCCAGATTGTCTCTTTCTTCAACAACCTACGCAAGGGAGCGGCGATAGTGGAGAAGTTCCTTACGAACTTCCTGTAGTAGTTAGCTAGGCCTAGGAACGACCGCAACTCTGTCAACGTGCGGGGCGTCGGGCAATCTCTAATCGCCGCTATCTTGCTGTCATCTGGCTTAATGCCATCTCCGTCCAACACGTGGCCCAAGTACAAGACTTGCGTCTTGACCCACTCGCACTTCTTCACATTGATCTTGAAGTTAGCCTCTCTAAGCTTTTCCAAGACCTGCCTCAGATGACCCTGGTGCTCCTGGAGGGTCTTACTAAAGACTAGGATACCATCTAAGTAGACTACCACAAATTTATCTAACCACGGTCTAAACAGGTCATTCATGCAACGCTGAAAAGTAGCTGGCGCGTTGGTTAGTCCAAAGGGCATCACTATAAACTCATAATGCCCATATCTAGCCCGAAACGCAGTCTTGTACTGATCACCAGGATGAACCTCTATCTTATGGTACCCGAACTTTAAGTCTATCTTAGAGAAATACTTACAACCCTRCACCCGATCTAAAAGATCGTCTATCCTGGGCAGCGGCTCAACATTCTTCACGGTGATCGCATTTAATCCCCTATAGTCTATACACATTCTCAGCTCTCCTTCCTTCTTGGGGACAAACAAAACKGGTGCTCCAAAAGGAGACGAACTGGGCCTGATCCAACCCTTCTCAAGGAGTTCGTCTAACTTTTTGCGAAGCTCCTCTAACTCTCTAGGGGACATCCTGTAGACCGCACCCTTAGAAGTTCTACTTCCAGGCTCTATCTCTATCCTATGCTGGATGGGTCGCGACACTACTCCTGTTGGCGACTCAGTCAAATCTTTGAACTCTTCCAGCAGCTTGGCAATTGTTGGATCTGCGGAACTATCATTTTCTTGGCCCTCAGTGACAGGTCTAACATACACCACAAAGACCTGTTCCTCTAACTGCTCCTTTCTTACTAATCGCGCGAACGCTGGAGCACTAAGACAACAATGCGCCAAGGTGTTATCTACACCGGACGCATGGAAGAGGCGAGCAGTCTTCACTTCGCCTGACGGACTAGGGAGCCTACACTCATGCTCTCTCAGATGGAGTGTGGCCCCTGCTGCCTCTCCCCAATCCATTCCTAACACTACATCGAAAGGAAGGTCATCTTGTACGAGGAGAGTCAGGGAATGGAAAACTTTCTCCACCTTCCCATCCTTCTCTAGGCGAAAGGACGCCTGGACTCCCTCTACGTAGTCCTCAACGCGCATCGTGCGGTTGTCTGCGAGGACACTGACTATGGGGTCTACTAGCTTTTGGACCTATAGTCCTAGCCTTTGCTTCTTCAGCGCCCTACGGCTAATGTAACTACGGGTAGCCCCTGAGTCTATAAGGCCCCCTACCCTACTCCTAAACACCTCTACATCTACCAAAATCAGTTGTCCTTTACTCTCCTTCTTCATTTTGGCCCAGGCTGGCATCCTCTCCTTTAATTCTTCTGCCACACCTGTGAGGGACGTGCCTAAAAAGACGCTTACATATGCGGTCTCTGGACAGCTATCTAGGCACGGGCCTGCAACCTCTGCCATAGGCTCATGTGGGTTGGGAGTGTCCTGTTCGCGCGCGCTCACTTCTCCACATGGCCTTAAAGTAGGGGCAGTTGCAACACCTACTGGCGGTTGCCTTTTGACTGTTGAGCAGCCCAACGGGCCTGTCTATACTTTGGACACAATTTAATTACGTGCGCCGGGTCACCACAGAATACGCACTGACCCATGCTCACGTGTTCCTGCCATAATTGTCGGTCCAAGCCCAAGTCTTCCCAGGGCCTGCCCTGCGGCAAGCCTGGATGCCATCCTCCTTGAGGTGCCCTTCCACCTCCTCGTTGTGGGGACCGGTTACCCTGGCGATTTAACGGGGGACCTTGACCCTTACCTCCCGCTTGGCGGTTTCCCTGTCCGCCAACCCCCTGTGCGCCCGGTCCTCGACCTCCCATGGCCTGGCCCCTTTGGCCCTGGCCTCCTCCTCCTCCTTGCGGCCTCCCTCCAGCCGCGACAGCAGCGTAAGACTTCCCCTGCCCCACACTACTGCCATGATCTTCAAGGCCCCACTCAATCTGATCATACGGGACCTCATCAGTACCACCTTCCTCTAACGTCAGGATCATGTGATCCTTGGCCTTTACTTGGCCTGAGATAGTACGATTCTTCCACTTCTTCCCCTTCTCCAGGTCCTTATGCCAGAAAGTGACTTTGACTTATACAGGATGACCTCCCTACTCAATTGATCGTATGTGATGCCGGCCTGCTGAGACTTGTCAAAGAAATGCCCGCGTAGGGCCTCTGGGATGGCACGATAAAACAACTGAACCAACTTGGGCTCGGTGACCCCGTGGTCCGGGACGGCTACCAAGTCGTCCATAGTACCCTTGAGTGCCTTGGCACTCCTCCACTGCCGAGAGTGAATCGTTTGGAGCTTATCAGAGGCTCTAATGCCTCGCGTTGGGTCAGCGAACCGCTCCTTGAGGAGCTTGAGGAATTGGGAGAGAGGAGTGACTTTGGAATACGCAACCAGGTTGTTTTCACAACCGGCTGTACGCGCAAGAGACCTGGCAAAACTAGCCGCTTCATCTTTGAGGGCCTGGAAGGCCACAAGGACTTGTTCCTCGACCAAGATATACTGCAAGTAAATATAACTATTGACACAAGCTTTCCAGTTGTCAAAGTTTTCTTCCTTCTTTCCCCCGTACGCATCCGGAAACTTAAGCTTCACTGGGTCCTTACGGGGCGTGGCCTCTCCCTTTGCGACGGCTACAGCTTTGGCACCCTGAATGGCGCCCTCACAAAACTTCCCGACATTGTCTCTCACTTGTTTGACTTCGCCCCCAACATGGGTGGCGATCTCGCGCGCAAAGTCTCTAAACCCTGACCGCATGGCACTCAAGGCTACATCTTGGCGCCAACTTGCCTGACGCTCTTCCATCCAGGCCTTGCTCAACAGCTCTAGATAGCCCAGTACCTTGTCCCACTTGGCCTTATCATTTGGCTGGGCCAGCACCTCTGCTCTACACTCCTGCACCCTTGGCACTGCTGCGGTCATCTTATTCACTTCCTCTCTCCTCCTCTTCTTCTCCCTCTTCATTCTCAACTTCCATGCTAACTTTTGCTCGTCTTCCCTCTCTCTTTGTTCCATTGGGTCTGTCATGGCTGCTAGCTCAGCGGTCAGCGCAGCCTTCTCATTCTTAGTCACATAGGACTCCGCCTCCTCGTCTTCCCCCAACGATAAATTAGCGACCCACTCGCTGATCTTCTTCTCCA